ATAATGCCGAAATTAATACTCGGCGTTCCACAGGAACCCCGAGTAACAAGTTAATGCTAGAGTAACCATTGGATTGTAAACTGAATGAGGACTTATAGTCGTTAATGTCAATACATTCAAAGACTAGTGTTTAGTTTAGGTAATGAGTACACAAGCTAAGCTTATTAACACCTATTAAGATTAAGTAGCTACAAGTGGCTGGAGTATCTTGGTTAAGAACCTTAAACACTAAATGGATTACCGATGGTAAACCTAACATCTACACATCTCTAAAATACATAAAGTGTGTTTCCAATGGTTGCGATGTAGTGTTTATTTGCTACGTTCAACATCGAACGTGTTTTGTACGCATTTAAGTYTCACATTGACATGCAAATTACGGCCTACATTCAACAACAAACAATATATATAAATGAGTTTCCGGTAGTTTTACGACAATACAAAGTCTTTTCAAGTCTTTAGCACCTTTTATGGTACAAAGAGAGGGGCTCATTGTTGATGAATCTCATTGTTGTGTGTTAGAAAACAAGGCCAGATAAGCACTCCATTTAACACTAGCTAGGGTAATCACCAAGACTTTAGCTTGACATCTTGGCTTTGAAACAGGCTTTTAACGGATAAAGACATTATCAAAGTAGGCGGTTGTGATTAGGTCTTTAGAAACGCGTGTTATTAACAACTAATCCTGAACGAAAATACCTATCAACAACTTTGCGCACAACATTTTTTTTTAGTTCGAGTTTGTTTTTCTTGTAATGGTGTTTATTGAGTAAAGTAATCAGTTACAGTTATTACTAAAGCTCACACTTACTGCTCACTATTAATTATGTAACAGTAACAAAGATATTTAACCCGTGATGCAAAGAAAAGAACCCGGCAATTAACRAAGTATCAAGGGGTTCACATTTTACTTATTTCATCTAAAAATACTTTTCCTGRAAATGAAGTAGCTGGAAAAAAGCTGCCTCAAATTGAGCCTACCTACATATTTTYCTACACATGTTTTCAAAGTAAAGACTTATAGAGACTTCTATTTTTTAAAGCTTATGTTGAGCTCCATGGAAAATAACGTAAGATGTAATAGGAATCCATGAAAAAATGCGTTTGTGCTGAAAGTTTTATCAAATTTACACAAACGTTTATATCTTGAATCTTTATCGACAGCCGCAATGCACACCGGGATAAACACAGCCAATCAGAAAARATCATTTCATTTAAATGGGCTACGGTGTAGCTTTTTTTGACCAAGATTTAGCTATTTATTCATAAATAATGAGTGTTTGACGATATTCATATCATAGCTTAAATCTATCTAACCCATTTGATGGATTCTAAAAATCCATGTTGGAGGAACAATAGCAGTAAATCTTACCTGTATCTTTAGTTGGCCCAAGTGAAACTTGATCGTACTTGTATGGGTTGTAGAGAAGGGTTTCCTGATGATCGCCTTTGAGCTGTAACACACATTAAGAATATTAAATCATACATTACAATAGTCTCCTTCACGGTTCCCTTGGTCATCTTGAAAGGTAGCTGTGCCTTTAAATCGAAGCGCGATGACCATTGAGCATGCAATGACAGATACCTGTGAATATTTGTCTGTAGGTGTGAAAGAAGGTATCTATTATTGCACGCTCAAGGTCGTCTCGCCTCGATGCAAAGGCACAGCTACCTTTCAAGATGGCCCAAGAACCTGTCAAGGAGAATATTATCCACTTTTGTTATTTTGGATGAATAGTAATTCAAATTCAGTTAAAATTACCTTGTTTGATATGATGTGAGTCTACTAAAACCACTCCTTTAGTCTGTATCATGTAGGTAAACACAGMAAAGGGCGCAATTGGAGACTTGGAAATCATGATCTAAATACAGCATTATCAAAGAGAACAGTTAACAAAGCAGGTGTTTCTAAGGTAAATATGAAAAGAAAGTGGAAGAATGTAAGGAAGAATGTTCCCTTTCTTTTACAATCCATATTTAGTYACCCTTGCAGTAGAGAAACTTCCTTTTCCTTCATAGACAACAATAATTATAATATGCAGTCTGAACAAAATGTATCTTATCCATGATAATACAGGTGCAGCAATGACTTATACATGTACATACCTGTCGGTAAACGTCATCCAAGTACTGTACAATCAATCTAGTATTGACTGCATGTGACCATGTATTTCCCAAAGCTGCCATCACATGACTACTAGAACCATCCTCATCATGTTCCAGGTCCCCACCATCCAAATCGTCCAGGTTGTGGTCTTGTCTATCAATGTCATTAAACCGTGTGGTGATCTGATTGGTGACGACAACCTAGAATCAAACAAATCACATCTATTTTATATACAGATAATGCAATGTACTGTCTTTGGTTGATATTTCTATGATATTGAAAATACTATGAATTATCAGTTGATATCATACCGGTATATTGAAGGTCTCGGCAATGTATCTAAGAAATAATAAGAACAGTACAGTGAGTTTAATGTAAATATTCTAGTGAATTCTTAGATTTAAGAAASACTCCTTGAGCATAAGGGGCACCCTGTTTGCAGGGTATACAGTTATCAAAACAGAATGAGGTTCRTGTGTCCTGTTGAATACACAAAGGGAAATCTTGTTTCAGGTTTTTGTACTGAAAACTCTGTTTCAGGTCTGTGCACCGCAAGCATGCAGGTTCTGGGTGGCAGGCACATTCAAAATATAYTGTGATCGCAAATAAGAGATTAAAGCATCTGCAATATTCTTGAAAACAAGCATACAYCTCAGAAATCGCCAATTCTTACTTGAGTATTGCAGCTTCTTTGGAGAGTAAATTGGTTCTTTCATTGACATTCTTTGATGATCTGCTGTCAAACTCTTTCCTCACAACAGATGCAACAGAATCTAGAATTATCAGCTTGACTTTCTTTGATATAACTTCTTCCTCTAGTATCTGAAGCCTGAAATGGGATCCCTGTGTGTTGGTAATGCTTTTTGATATTGTGCTTCAACAAATGGGTTTCCTGTGTTGGGTTATAAATAGTGGGTATCCTGTGCTTTATAATTCATTGAATRAAAGAGTCAGCGACACCACTGAATCAAGCAGAATGGTTTTGATACAACAACTTCACCTACCTTTCCCACAATGYACTGCATGTAGGTTCCCAAAATACATGGATTTTTTTTGAAAGAGAAAGAACCGAGTCTTGTGTGTTAAATAAATCAGGAAAGCGACTTTCTGCCATTTCAACCAATCTTGAAAGTATAAGTGCAAATTAATGATATTAAAAAATAGAAATATTGTATGTAACTTTTACCCATTTAATACATATACAAGATATTGTTCATTTAAAGGATGTTTTATTACCTTGAGGCACTAAATGCAGCCTCTGTGTCAATGTATATAACATTAGCCGCTAGACCACCCATATCTGTGGGTAGTGTTGCTAGGATACTAAGCATGATACAAAACTGTGTCTTGCCACATCCAGCTGGCCCTGTGATCTAAAGAGAAAGACACTGTCTTTGAAGTTACATGTTACTGTGTATAGTTAATAAAAAATACTGCTTTATCCAGTCACTCATTTTGACTTCTAGTTAATGTGAATGATTACCTCCGTGATTGTCCCACATGGCAGCCCACCATGAAGTTGTTTATCAAGAGGAATKAGTGATGTTGGAAGAAAAGCTGCTTCACTTGATGACTTGCGATGAAGGTCCAAAGCCTTCCAAGAAATATAAGCTAAAATCCTACTTCTGGCATAATAAGCTTAATTAAAAAGAGTTATAAAATAATGAATAATAATGAAAGACATGAAACATTGTGATATAAATATCAATTATGTTAACAATATTAGTTGTATTTGATAGTAAAAAYATGTATGTGAATCTTACAGTTGTAATTCTTGGAGCAATAGCTTTGCTGACTGCTTTCTCAATGTCCTTCACTTCATCAAAACTCACACCACACAGTTTCAGAAGTTCAAGTGAATTTTTAGACAACAAATCCTATAAAAATGAATACTATTTATTAAATCAACATTTCCCGTTCCTTTAGAGATATTTCAGTTTGTTAAGCATATCGAAGTGGTATACWTTACCTTGCAAGTAAACACGCGATTCTTCGACAGTCGAGTCAAAACCTCGCTGCGTACTCCTTGCACACGTTGYAGTCTTCGAGTCGACATTTAGTATGTAAATATATCAACAATAATGATGCAACGTGATGATAAAATAATTTAAAAGTTTCAAGTATTTGAAACAATTGACGRATAAACCACTAAATTTCATCTTCTTGAAAACGCTTCAAAGTTCCCGCCGCTGTCCGCCATGTTTATGCCCTAGTCTTCCACGTCCAAATGAAACAGAGAGATGAGGAGCTGCGTTCCAAAACTGTTTCTTGTTGATTGTTGGACAGCTGTGCCTGGCTGTTCCTGTAAACAGCCTTTAGAGTGTTTATAGCAATAGTATCACGATAGTGTAATGTCTTGAAGATTTGCTGTATTGTTTAGTTCGCTTATCGAGTGTTCATATGCTAGAAAACTGTGAAAGTCTTCAAGATTTGTGTCGTCGTGTTGTCATCCAGTCCATCGGTAGCAAAAGACTTGTAAATGTACTCCCACTGCCTGGTAGAGTTGCAGAATGGTTAAAAGAATATAATGAACCAACAAAGTTTTACAGGAAATGTTCAACAAGTGATGTGCTGTTTTCATCTAATCAAGAAACAATAACATTTCAAGGTGTGCACTATTCGCCACCCCCTCCCCCCCTATGCCTCATTATCCGACCCACAGATCAATCAAATTCAAAAAAGATTACCTCAACACCCATCTTTTAACGGTGACAATTCTTTATGTGGAATTGTTTCCATTATTTATCATCTCTTACGATTGATTTTCAGGGCGACATTTCTATAGCACCACCTTCATCTATACCCCATTTGGGCGTGGCTACACGCGTGGAAAACACGAATGGGTGTTTTACTTTGATAACTGTTGTGGACAAGTTGCCGTCTCTTTGCTTCCTACTGAATTCAAGGAGAAGAAACAATTCGGGAGGGTGCCTTACACGGGGAGAAGAATTGGTTGGGCATTTAATCAGGTTGGAACTGTGACATACGAGGTTCCAATGTGGGAAGAAAAGACACGTTATGGCAAGCTTTTCCAGTCCTGGGATATGATAGGAATGCTATTAGACCTTGAGGAAGGTACTCTTGGATTTTCAGTAAACGGTAAAGAACTTGGAATAGCGATTGATGAAGGTTTGAAGGGAAAAGAAGTATTTCCCGCTGTCTGTCTGTGCGCACGMGGAGAAAAAGCAACATTTGTTCGCAGTACAACCTATATATGATCGTGAAGCTTCAATTTTCAACGGTATTGCCAGCTCAGTTTTGGTCTAGTCTTGAGCGTCCATTCTCACGAGATTTACATGACCTTCATGGTTATTACAGGAGAACTATAACCGGTTTAAGCAACGACTTATTCATCACTTCAAATGAATTTATCAATGTAATTTTAAAGAAAAAAATACACACGTTCTAAAATTTGTCAGGATTCAGAAGAATTCCCAGCTTGAGAGAATCAATAATAATTATAAAAATAAGAATAAGAATAATAAAAATATTAGGACTACTCATTTTTTTTTAAATAATGTTTTGTTGTCCAAAATTGTCTCACTGTCATGTGTTTCCTGACGATGCTGTAGACCTGAGTGAAAACTCGGACTCTAAGAATATATTTGTTCCACCACAGCAGCCCTGGCTACATTTGTATATATTTTCTTCATCACCATCAGGCTGCTAAAGGATAACTTTACTCGTCTGTCTGAGTTTAGTTATGTATTTCCCGTATGGGATCAGCCACTTCCTCATACGATTATTTCCCGTATTCATATAATAGTTTCGACACAGAGACATACTTGATGGAAACTACCGCTAAAGACAAAAGAACCGAGTAGAGCGAACTGCAAAAGACAGTCGCGAATCGTCGCCAAACTGCTTTGAAAGAAAAATAAATGTGTCCAATTATATCACTATTTTTATATTTTTAATCATTTTTATTTATTTACTACAATAGCATGGAAGACGTTTTGRTGGAAAGTTAATTTCTGATGTCGTTACTGCTACGCCGTCAGCTCGTATTTCTTGTTTTACGACTGTTCCATTTGTAAAGTAAATTCCCCGGCTTTTTTCGGCAATATATTTATCAATAAGCACATGATTTAAACAAAAATCGCATGATCCTTAAAAAAACTGTCATAAATCATAGTTTCCACATCACTGATTAGAATCACATGAGTTTAGTGTAATCTCCTATTCCAAGAATTACAGGGAAAAAACCCATGGAATACTAATGAACCACGAAACACAGTAGATGCGATATTAGAGATCCGCTCATAAACCTAAAAATCATCATGGAAACCTGTAATGTATTTGGGTTATTATTAGCTAAAAATCGAAAGGTTAGTTGAATTTTATCAAATTTTATGCTTTTGTTTTTTGCTCACATCGCTTTTTCTGCATCCTCGGCATTTTTCGAACTTCAAAAATGAAGAAAAGACACTATACATAAAGCTTTCGAATGGGTTTGTCATTTCCATTTCAAAAATCTAAATAAGAAGAAGCCACTGCAAGTGTCGAAGCGACAAAAAAAACGGGAAGAATGACTAATTTTTTTCACATCTTCCATAAATTATTCACTCTGTGATATTTGAATATCTATTTGACTTTAGAAGGTCTGTGATAAGCTGAATACACAAGACACATAAAAAACCTTTACAGTCAAAAAGACACAAAACAATAAAATATTGGAGATTATTAATGAATATTAATAATTTCTATACTTTTATTCCACTTCCATTGCCAGCAGATTTTGTTGCTTCAAATTTATAAATGTCTGCAATCAACAATAACAGCATGCTCTGACAAGATTTTCCAGTTAAAACGATTTTTTTAAAGGATTTTATATAATCATACTAAACAAAATATAGGTTGTATTTTCATGCCAATGTTAAGTTTCCATTATCCTAATACTGCATGCATTATCAAACACTTTCACAGTTACTATGGTTACTTTACGAGACGCAAGAGATTGCTCTTCTCTGAATGCTAATATCAATCAACAATTGTTCAATGTTTCAAGTAGAAATTGAGTGGTCAAACATTCGTWATAAACTATTGGGTTATGTCCAGACATCCTCATGATATTGCTTGTTAGCTCTAAGTTTACTCATCTCTGAGATAGCATCTACTTTACTAATACCAAGATGCTGTTCAGCAATTTCACAAAACACTGCAAACACATCCTTTGCCATGTTCTTTGCATCACCACACACATAGACAACACCTCCTTCATCAAATATCATCTTTGCAACTTCTTTGGCATGCAGTCTTAAGTTGTCTTGTACATATCGGATAGTACTTCCTTCTTCTCTTGAAAAAGACACTAAAAGATTGCTTAGAACACCAGATGAGTGGTAGTCTTGTAATTGTTCTTTGTAAAGGAAATCTTGATTTCTGTTTCTGCATCCATAGAACAGCAATGATTCACCATAAACCTCTTTAGGACTTCTTTCTTTGCACTCGCACTTTCTCTGCTCAAGAAATCCAACGAAAGGTGCAACACCAGTACCAGGCCCAATCATCACTACAGGAACCTTTGGATCATTAGGAAGTCTAAACTGGTTATGCTTCCTTGCTGAAACAAATACAGCAGGGTTATTTTGCTGCTCACACAGTTGCAGTTGCGATAATCTATCAGCGAAATCACTTCTCATATTTTCTGTAACAGTACTTAACCATCCAGTGCAAACTCCAAGTCTGCTGCTACGGAGATCTTCATAAGGTAGAAATTCCACAATGTTGAAGACAAACTTCAGCCTGTTTGGATCACTTAATGGTGAACTTGCTACAGAGTAAGGTCTTGGACTAAGTTGTGGAAGATGTTCTATCAATCTTTCAAATGGAGGACAGCATGAAGGAAAAGCCTTCAGTATTTCAAGTAATGAGATACTTGGTTGTCTAATGCAAGCTTGATATTCTGAAGCACCTTGCTTGCTACAAAGTTCTTGTAGACGACGCTTTTCTTGAGGATCCTTTGTATACTCAACTAACATTCTAATCATTGCCTTTTTTGGAACAGATCTGATTTCAAGGCAGTTAAGAAAAGCATCTTTTACAGTGCATGGGTCTGGGATATACCTGGGCTTAACTGCTGTCTTCTTCGTGGTATTTTCCATGACATTCACAGAAAATGATGTATCTGCCTTGTCTTGAAGACCAAGAATATACATAAGCTCAGTGACTTCCTGCTGGTTATTGGGGCATAAAACATCAAATGAGTCACCAGGTTCATAATCAAGACCACAGTCAGTGATATCCAATTCAATTTCTAATGCTGTTTTGATAGCATCTTCTGCTGTAAGAGTTTTAGCTGATAATATTGTTGCTTTGGAAAACATTCTGTCCTGATACCATGGACTACTTTCATGTGATTCACCTGTATGATACTCAACAGAAAGATAATTAGGAGAGAGCACAGGTATTGACAAAACACTTGAAGACAGTGTCTCTGAAGATGTTCTCAATGATGGCAGATGAAGATCTGCTGTAGATGCTTGTCCTGGTGATGTATCTCCTTTACTATTACTATTATGATTATCTTCTGTAAGAAGACTGGACGAGTTTCCTAAGCCTTTGCTTGGAAGATTGTCATTCTTTTCAGGGATATATTCTTTGTCAGAAGGATATTCTAAATTCTGCACAGTAAGTGGTTTCTTATCATTACCATTAGTCATTGGCTGTGGTTTGTTTTCACATTCATTCTGAGTTGGTTCATTGCATACCTTTTCACCATTCTCTAGTCCCAAGCTTTTCTTGACAGCATTCCAAAGTCCATCAATCCAGGGGTCCACTACTAACTCTAAGCCTACAGCATCATCTGCATATCCACTATTATAAAACTGTTTTGCACCAAGAGCTAGCAACCTTCTGTCAAGAGTTTTGCCATTATTACAGAAATTTGTATAATTTGTGTCACCAAGAGCTAAGAGAGCGTATTGGCAGTCTTTCAAATGATCGCTTGGCAAAGTTTTTTTCTTGAGACGTCTCATGAATTTCAACATGGTGTCTGGGGGATCTCCTTCACCTGTAGTTGACACTATAAACACAATTAAGGGTTCCTTTTCAAGAGTAAACTTCTTTTCTGTTTGACTCAGACAAAACAACTTGGATTGGAGKCCATGCTGGGATGAATTCTCATGGATTTCTTCGGCTATTGCTTGTGCTTGCCCGGTCTGCGAACCGTACAAAATTGTAAAATGTGACGAGGTTGGCATTTTACAGTTTTTTGATGACATTAACAACAGTGAATGGAGAACAAATAACGGTTTTCTGGGGAAGAAGTTCAGAAAGCCATTCAAAATCATCCAAAGCACGGTAGATATCGGAAGATGTGTTGTGTAATCGTGCTGTAATATTACTGAATATAAGGCCAGTTTTGATTGGATGATTCTATTGACCAATCATAACATGCAAACAAAGACGATGGAAATGGCAAATAAATCAAATAAATCGATTTTGGTTGTTGATATAAAGATTTYAAGTACATCTTTTCGATTATCTTTATCATTATTATTTGATTAAGAACGTATATTAAAATGAAATGATCATTTTAATGACGTTTAAATCCCTACTACCAAAGTACAGCGAACCCACTCCCCCTCAGTAGGCAATCGTTCTTGGGCTTAGATTGGAATGCTATCCTCACGTGACCTAGGAACAGGAAGCAAAATGGCGAGCATTTGTTTATGAGCAACATGAAAGACGGCGTCAACAGCCGTGGATTTTCTCAACCTTTGCAGACTTAGTCGCTTGGAGAGAGGAATGGAAAGCTTGTCGATGCATCCTCACCATCTTTTACAACTGTTCGAAGAGGCGTCATCATCAAGCCGGGTTGGTGTCTATAACAAACTCATTTTGTTTGGTTGTTGATTTTGATATTTCTGCACCATATAGATGATAACTAATACAATACATTGACAATATGCCGATTTCTTTTATCTTGATRATTTTTTACATTCACGGATTCATTTTGAGGTGAGTTTTGTTAAAGAGTAAGCTGAATAACAAAGAGAAATCCTGTTCTTTTGTTTTACAAGAAGTTGGCGCAATTTGAACAAAGCTGTCAAACACAACGTCTTCAAACAACGAGTCCGTTTTTACAAATAAACAAATTAATGCTATGTTGGTATATATGTGTTGATGTTGAGGATATATTCAGGTCGATCTGGTTGATTATTGTGTGATTTATTAACTATTTTAATAGTTAAATAGTTAACCTTTAATAAAGTTCAGAACTCGTTATGACGTTCAACGACTCTCCTTAGCTTGTCATTTCCGGGTCAATCTTAAATTGCTGATTCGATAGATTACGTGCACTTAAGTTATCTATATATGATAAAAATACTTCCCAATAAAACATAGGGTTGCAAATAAATTAGCTATTAAAAAATCGAATCAGTATTGCTCTGTTTAAGGAGTTTTTCGTTCAAAAAGTCTTGAAGTTATTTTTTTATGGCGTGAAAATCGTGCTCCATGACATTTTTCGATCGACTTATATTATAATTCTCAACTGGCGGACTGGATTTTGCACGTCCAAATTTATCTMAAAAATCACGGGATTCATTTTTGGTTTTGTTTTATTTTTTATTTTTAGTTAGTATTTCTTACTTTCTAGTCTTCAATGTTGTATCAGCTGACTTAGAATTTACCCTTTCTCATAGCAATTATTTAGAGCTGTTTATGTAATCAAACTATGAAGGAGGTTAAACTCCAAACTTTTAGTACTAGGAATGTCCAATGTCAGGGCCACCTAAAGATTTTAAATCCTAGTCGGTGGTGGTGACGCACCTATAGAAGCATTTATTTGAAACCAACATCCCTTTCGTGAATTTTCCTGGTGACTTTTTGTTGTGCAATAATTCAGGAAGTATCTGACGATGATCTTCGATCACGATTTCATTTTCTAGAAGTTCTTTCATTTTTTTCTTTGCGCAAGTCAGGACATCGGTCAGGTTGTTACTCTAAAATGAGTGTTTTTTGTGTTAATTATTTCACGCGAAACTGTCATCTTATCAAGTGTGATATGACAGGAGCGTGATTGTTATTCGATCAAAACATTGGTTTCTTGCCAACTTTGCAGAACAATAGCATTACAAGCTTGTCGTATTTTGATGGGCTTACCGTGTTTGGAGCAATGAAAAGTGGAATAACTGCAGGGTTTTCCCTCTTCATTTGAGTTGTGAAACATGCTGGGCTCGTGTCTAGTTATGAAAAGTCCAAGTGTTAGATACAAGGGGAGTTTGAACAGGGCTACAACGAAGGTAAATGACTAAATTGTTTTAGACCTTGAACTTTTTTGTTCTCCAGTCTTTATTGTCCATAGTGCTAGCGTTACATCTTGGATTTTTTGTCATACTCCGAGCAAAATKTGATCGGAAATGCTTCCGTGGCATTGSCAGTTTATGAATAARCTRGACGYCTTYTTTRTTCGCACTTTGATTTCACAAAAATGATGTTGTAATTGAATCATTTGTTATTCAACAAAGCATAAATTGTTTTTCTCATTGTTCTCTACGATTTTATTTAATTTTTTTAATACCTGCATTTCGTGCARATTCTGATTAGTGCTAAAGCAGTTTCGTGTTATGGGTCGAAAGCAATTTCGATGTTGCGCTTGAGTGTTTTAGATGTAAACATTTGTCAATGTAATGAATACTAATAATATGTACAATCGAGAACAATAAGATATCAAATTCTCATCTTTGACTCCATTCACTCCKACAAGAAACAGGCCATATAAGGTTGATGTAATTGCCTTGTAAAAACTGAAACACTTGGATTACCGATTAAATTGGAACTATTTTTGAAAAAAGGAGAAACAGAATATAAGGCTGTAGCCTTTGAATATTATTGCATTTAACAATACTGTATCACATGTTTTATCATCATACCTTAATTGATTAACATCTGAAAATTTATATTTTCAAAATATTTCTTTCTGTATTTTCCAGAATGTCATTATAATTATTTTTATTCAAAGCTGTTTCATATGTTTTATGATATAAATATCATAAAAGGARTGTGAAAGTAAAGTGGACTTTGCATTATTACCTCATAGTGAAACACATGTGACATCAAAAACAATTTTGGTTTTATGACAAAGAACAAAAAATACCTTGAGTAGCAAAAATTATCCTTGCATATCTGACATTTTATTTCACCAACAGAACCTCTTATAAAAGCGTAAATAACTTTTTTTTTCAATAATAGTATTCTAGAAGCATCAACAAACAGCTTTGTTTAGTTATGCTAGCTTTCATTATTATTTCCAAATTAAAGAAWGTTATTATTCCATTGTATAAATTCAGACAACCACSTTGAAAACAAGTGTTTCTWTGAGATAATTTATTCAGAATGGAGTGTTTTCAATTTTTAGACCWTCACATGACATCCCTAGCCCATGTTCAACAACCTATWRGTTTWTGAGTATAGTCACAAATCAGAGAGATATTAATCAAATAGTTTATAAAGATGATGTTTTCAATTGTGAATTTTTTTTCCCCTAGCCATTACAAGAAGAATCTTACTGTACAAGACTGTACAGTCATCCACCTCTGCATCCTGGAGAACAAATCATCYTACAGCAGGATGAAATCATGTGTGTTGATAGTTTTGATAACTACGCCGAGGGGATTATTCATTTGACGACATACAGGATAATATTTACTGGTGCTTATAAGGTATAGTCAAGAGTGAAAAGGTGTGTTATCCACTTATAAACATGTATGTTGAGGTAGTAATTTCTATTGTGTTTTGCAATTCAGTTGTAGTGCAGCTCTTAAATGTCCAAATGTACCTACAGCAGCTGYAGACAGGSCATTATTAATCCTTGGGAACCCAGACCTAATCATCTGTACTTTGTTCCTCACTCCCTCCTGGGTTCCCAAGGATGACCATTATTTTGAAATTTTTATRAAGTCAGACACTTCCAGGTCATACAAATCAATTTGAGAAACATATCCAAAGTCTGTTATTATACTTTTATTGTTTTTTAGGTGCAGGAATGCAATGAAACAGAGGGACAAGAACAAAAACTCAAGTTGGAAGAAGATGCAGAGGAGTTGTCCAGGAATGCTTCTCGTCGACAGTCCATTACACTTAAGAATGAAAGGAACAAGGCTGACTCAGATGTGTACAAGAGACTTGGAAGGTAACTGATGATGTAATGTTCAACTACTTAWTTATTATTTCTCATTTTACTTCTATTCATCAAGGTTTAAAAAGACAAAACCACTCAGATATTCACAATCAGTGAGGAATTTCAAAACAAGTGGCATTCCTGGCATTGAAGAAAAAAACGAAGCAAAACTGATGACCTACAGACCCATACTTCACACTTTAGAGCGCATTGGTAGGTCTTAACCAATGAAAACTCTCTTGGTTAACTCAGTGAAGTGAATTTCTCACTCTAAGAAACTAAGTTGATAATTTCAATATGTTTTTTTTCTCAGATCACCATTATGAATTAGAATTGTCTGTTCCCTGTGCAAGTATTTATGAAATTAGAAAATATTCAAGAAAAAACTTACCAAAAAGTAAAAATGTGATTCGCAGTGATGGATTTGAACTGCTATGCAGTAACATCAAGTCATACAGGGTAATGCGATTGTCTTTTCATCCGTCTATTCATCTCTTTTCTCATTTTTTCATTMATCATCATCCTATTACTTTGTGCATTTGTCTAAAAGATGTAAATTATGAATGCTACATGAAAAAAGGTTCTTAAAATGTYTGTTCACTGCTTTCATTCTAGTTCTGCCTTCAACAAAAGATAAATTCCAAAACAGTCATTGATTCAGAGAGTCTAATTAAACTGCTTCTTTACCACACAAAACCTGTAAGTAAAATTACATAATTTTAGTATCATAAAGAGTAAGAAATTCTGGTTGATCTTTATTTTTTGTTTCTTGCAGTCATTTCTCAGGCTGTTTGCCTTTGCACATAGAAAGGCTATTACAATTCCAAGCAAGACTCCCATTTTAGATGACAAAAGTCCTTCGAATTTCTACAAATTTAAAGGTATTAAATTGCTCATATTCAAGTATGAAAATGACTATGAGACCATACATTTGACGTATTCTGATTAATGTATTAATCATTAATTCATATATATCTCTTTTTTATTATTTTAGAGGAATTCATAAGAATGGGTTTTTGTTCTGCTACGGAATGGAGAGTGCCAAGTAAGTGAAATACGAAACAGACAAATGTATGTCATGCTTCATGTTGCGTGACCCCATGACGGAAAAAAATTGACGTCACTGGTCTCGTGCCATACAGTAGAACTATGACACTATTAGTGCCCATTCCTTCACAGATCATTCGTGTGAGCAGTACCCAAGACAGACAATTGTACCATCGGATATTTCAGATGAAGAACTTTGCAAGGTGTCGAATTTCCATAGGTAATTTACAAACATTGATAACACCACCAGGAATGTCACGAAAACCTGTTTTCACCCTCATGTGTCACGCCTTTTTATAGCAATCCTTTAATGCGAGTCACGCTATTGCGTAGCGGGAAGATTTGTTTTCCTGTTGAGATCTTTATTACGTGTGTTTTGATACTTTTAACAACTTAGGATTAATACCTAAGGGAAGTCTTCGGGCCGWACACGTCCCGTCTGTGGACGACTGCCAAAGTTTGACCACACCCATATGCGAGATGATATTTTGAACTCTTTTTCTGAAATGACTGAGTTTAAGTTTTTTCCCTTCTTGCTGAGAGTAACTGCGTGATTTATTCGGCTAATCGCCAGGTCAAATGTGTCACGACTATTGYTGTAATTTCAGAGGTAATACMTTTCCTGCAGTTTGTTGGAGGCAAAAAACAAACGGGACTGTCATACTAAGATCGTCAACTACACTTAATCGACGGTAAGTCAGACGCATAATTATCARCCGCTACTGTGACTTAATCACGTGACAAGTTATCGAGACGGAATTACTGGYTGGGTTTCGCTTTATTGTTGTTAACCATTTTTTGTTGATTTATTATTAGGGGTTTAGTTGAAACGCATTGTAAACTGGACGAAAAGTTCCTGAAATGTGTCTGTCAGACTAACGAATCAGCGACCAAGAATAAACTTGTCATCTTCACGGAACAGTAAGTGACCGTYTACAGACCTTTATTGCTCACCACGCATGCTCCAAAGATAGCTAGTTCGCGCGTTATGATACTGCGCATGATCAAGAAAATAAAATTCAAAATRTGGCGGTAAAAGTTGAGCCCTCCTCAGTTTTAGAGCAGTCTGTTCCAACAGTTTTTGTCCAAAAGTTATTCGCAATAATATTGCGCATGTCCATGTCCTCTGATGCTGTTCGAGAAAATGGTTCTTTGTACAAGTTTTTCATTTTTTGGTTTCTCTTTATAGGCTTTAGTTGTAATTGTATTTCTTATTTTAGACCAAAGCAATCAGGTGCRGGACTTTTGAATACCCCAGCACAACGAATGAACGATGCTACAGGACAACTTACTCCAGAACAAGGAGAAAGTAATTGATTCTTATTGGCTTGTTTGGATTTCACTATGTAAAGTCATTATTTATGTACAATCTCTTGTTTAYGTTGACAGCATTTTACTATGGTAACTGTAAATTCGTGTACACGGACTCACAGCCGGACTACAAGGCAGTACGTCAGAGTGCAGCTAAGCTACAGGCATTCCTTGCGACCACAGTGTAAGTGTGAACAGACGTTGTTTTTATGCAAAATAGTTTGTTCGTTTGATTTTTATTTGTTTTTATASTCTGTCAGTTTCTTGATAGGTTGTTTTAGGAAATATGATGTCATTTTTTGTTCTTATAGCGAGGACAGCAAGTATCTTTCGGCATTGGAAGAAACAGAATGGCCGTCTCAAATCAGTGAGCTACTKCAATGTGCAACGCAAGCAGCTGTAGCAGTAAATTGTGATCAGTCTTCAGTCATGTTCAGTTACGAAGAAGGGTTCGACAGGACTGCTCAGGTACTTGTACTTCAATTTTCTTTCTCTAACTGTTTGTCATCGTGTTTAATGTTAAACCGCTGATTTTGACATTGACTGATTTCTTTCTCACAGCTTTCGAGTCTTACTCAACTTCTGTTGGATCCGTATTATAGAACCGTTGATGGTTTCCAGGTAAAGTAGCCAGTCAATTTCCAAACAAAGGTGTGAGTTTATTTTGAGAATGTTTGAACGTTTTTGGTAGATTCTGATTCAAAAGGAGTGGTTATCGTTTGTACATAAGTTTGCTGACCGTAATCTTCCAGCTGACACGTTAGATGAACACGGTCCTATTTTCCTGCAATGGCTGGACTGTGTTTGGCAGGTAAAGTACCATATATGACATCACCTCTATTAACTGTTTCATTGCAATGTGTCTTTCATGTCATAACCAGTATAACTGGTTCTATTTCAGGTTTTATTGCATGTCATAACCAGTATAACTGGTTCTATTTCAGGTTTTACAGCAGTTTCCGTTCTCCTTTGAATTCAACTCGTCCTTGCTTGAGGTAATGTCGCTAATAAAAACCTGTAAATATGTTTGATTTACTAATTCTAATGAATTCGTTCTTGTATAGTTGATAGCAGAGAGTGCTTATTCGTGTCGATTTGGTGACTTCATAGCAAACTCGGACCAGATGGTAAGAGTTTTCAATTATGCCTTCTTTCTATTTCAACTCTACACTGTTATTGCACGCTGACTAATGGCATTTCAAAATTAGGTAGCGTTGATATGACGATTGGACATTTAAAAAATACAGAAATTGTATTTTTTCAGAAAGGAATCGAGGAAAAGACAACATCTTTRTGGACTTGGCTAAACGTAGCAAGCATGTCAGATCCTGATCGGTTCGTCAATCCACGGTATAGAGTAAACCAAAGGTACAAGACTCGTTCATTGTTTGTTTTTCGTTCTTATCTATTAGTAACAAGTGTCGTTATTGTTATTTATCATCACAGTGCTCTTTTTCCTCGATATCATATTCCATGTCTTAAAGTTTGGACATCTTTCTATTCGTCTGCATACAAACAGGYAAGATTTATTCTGGTTACTTGTCAATATTATTTGTTCTGTTGATCTTTCTCTCAGTTCCTTCAGGCTACAAGGCCATAATTAACTATAACAAGACTAGATAATGATTTGCTCTCTTCAACAGGACAATGTCCGCGATGCCAATAAAGCTGGATATATCCAATCACTCAAACTAGAAGACGTTTATAAGGTAATATAAGCCTGAGCATGCTCTGTTGAGCTATAGCCAGTATCCCACATTGCAAGTTCATCCTCGTTCCCAGGCCTTTATCCCTTAGCTTGGGGTCCGGCGGGAAGGGATAATGGCCGGTTAACGAGGTTTGGGCAAGTTCTGAAAGTGTCATAGAAAATAGGTTTTACATGATTCTGATGATTATGCATTCCAAATTTGATTTGTTAACGATTATGTCTATGTTTATTAATATATATTAATTTATGGCAGGATTTACTTAAGAAGCACAACCAACTGTCACGACGGTTAACTAACGGTCGAAAACCAAGCATACCAACAATCGCTACGACAGACGTGACTTTCGACATCACTAACGATAGCGATCGATCATCATCGTGTGAAGACGAAGACGATTCTGGGATTGATAATACTACATCTCCCGTCTCTCTTGAAGTCAGTACAGAAGAAGTCACGTACAGCAGTAAACCGCAGCGAAGAATGACGAGAAGTAGATCACTCGATGATATGCTGAGCTTATCGAATCAAAAAACCATCAAAAGRCGATCAATCAAACGAAAAGTTGGCGGGAGCAAGTTTTACACGACTGATTTGCTGAAAGAACTGGAAAAAGGTRAGGGACTGGTGACGAAATGTGACATTTTGTTTGTTTATCATGGTTACTAGAATCTAGTTTCYACTCTGTTTTGTGGCACTGGCAYGCTCCACAMGTCAATCATGTTATGATCAGATATGGCTGCAAAACGAATAAATGAAAGAATCAATTTATGATAAGCACTTTATTATTACCTTCATCCAACGCGGTGGCTATTACTGACAGTCCCATTGCTATAATGGTTTTATTACAGAGCCAAGAAAACGATTTGAAGTACCAGAACCAATCATCGAAAATGTCACAAGTCTAAAGGAGTACTTGGACAATATTGGTAAGAAATTATAGACATTTTAGCCATTTTGACTTTCACTGTGATTTACATTTTCTGTCGGTTTGGTAGGAATCCATTTTAAAGCAGAGTTAACTATCCACGTCACTGATACACAATGCAGTGGTTACATGGTGAAACTTGGAAGTAAGTTACGGTTATTTCACTTCATTGCTCTTAGTTATTTGATTGGTTGATTAATTAACGCTCTTTTTGGTCTTTTAGAAGTCCACAAGAGTTGGAGAAAGAGGTGGTTTGTGCTTGATCTCACTAAACGATGTCTCGCTTATTTTGAGAATGAGAAGGTAAACCAATTTCAAACTAATTCTACACAAACTTTGTCTCATAAACAATTTCCGTGACTATTTTTAGAGTCAGCATCCAAAAGGTGCCATTAGTTACCAGTCCATTGTTCAAGTTTATCCTCGAAGCAACACAGAAAAGAAAAAACGTTGTTTGTTTTACGTTGAAACACCGARCCGAACGTTTGAGATTCAACCACCAAATGAACAATGTATGAAAATTTGGATTGCTTGTTTGACGATCCCACAAAGTGCCATTGGCGTGTAGGTCTAGTGTCGAATTGCTAGCACGTTTGACAATGCAGTCAAAAGCTCAAGTTCCGTTCCTTTCGCGATATGGTGTCCAAGATGTTTGATTTCTGTATAACATAAAAGGGCTTTMCAAGAATCACTAAGTGATAGGCAAACAGTGGATTTATGGACTGTGGTATTCGGAACTTTCATTGCGAAGTGTTAGTTATTGCTAACAAGCACCACTAGGTCGACATAGGGTGGTCATAGCATGGTACATTAACAATCGATCAAGTACACTACTTGATGGGTACATACACTGAACGCWGGACGTTTTTTGTATAATTCTTAGTCTTTATTTATAATTTATCATTTGTAATTATTTTGAAAGTAATATAATACTTGTACATAATAACAGTCCGTTACCCTTTTAATGAACTTAGTACCCTCTATGATATTGAACTTAATACCCTCTATTATATGGAACTTAATAGCCTCTATTATATGGAACTTGGTTATTTACAACGATGGCAACAAATGAGAAATTTCTTTTATTTTTTTCGTACTCATTATAATATTAATTGGTTGAATTGCCATCCATTTTAGTTTTGCGTGCAGCCGCACTTACAATAGAGTGTATGCGCGCACATAATATATTATAGACCCCTTGCAGTTCATGGGAATGCAGCTCTAACTGGAGGACAATGGATTCTATTTCCCAAAAAATCTTTTGTTTTTTTTCCTCCAGATGAAGCTAATTTGACATCACATGCAAGGGATCTATTGACATTTACTTTAGATTTTTTAAGATGAAAACAAATTAGTATAATATAAAATAAAGTAATGTTGTAGTTATAAATATACAAAGGGAACTAATTTCCTCATAGTCTTCGTCCAAAGTGATGCGTATTGGTGGCGATTTTGCATTCGGTTCTTCGTTCCTGAGTGAATTCAAAAACACAAAAAACTCACGAAAACGCATCAGGTCCTCAATGAGGATGTCACGTTAATAAAATAAAGACTTATTTGGTATTATTTGGGAACATTGTATTGTTTGACATAATTCATACATTAGGTCACGTGACTGACGCTCCCTCGATCGATAACTGGTCATAACTGTGAAGCAGGAAGCGCAGATTGAACTAACTTTCACTTTTAGAAGTAAAATCAGGTCAGTTACATTAGAAACAGTCGCACAAAACAAAAACATGTAGCTAATTTCGCACACAACTGGCACTTCGGCGAATTTGGCGGGCAATTCCAGACATGATTTCAATATAATCGTTACAATCGGTAGGATCGCCACGATCGCTGAAAATGTGTCGGGTCATTAGACGTTCAGAAAATTTCTGAATTATTTCACATGCATAGATGTACGTTTTTTTCTGAATTTCTTTATATGTAAAATGATATTTAAAAACGTAACGTAATACATAAATCAAAATTCAGAAATTTCTCTGTTCGTAATTGATATTAGAGTATAAAAATTCAAAATTTCTGAATTTTCAAAATTTCTAAACCTCAGTGAATCAACTAAAAATATAAAAGAAAATTTCTGAATTGACACAATTCAGAATTAAGAAATTTTCGTTTTCATTTTCAGTTTTCATTTTCGCCTGAAAATAAACTCGTTGAAAGCTTTTTGGCAACTAAAACCACAGTAAACTGGAGTTGCTCGCCAAATTCACATCGATTTATATATGTCGATGAATGAATATGGCCCGGGAATATAGTAATATATTGGCTAACAAACTCAGTAGTGCCATAAGCAGGTGTCTATGTAAGTAACTAATACACCTTTTGCTGTTCATTTGCGCAAAAAATGCATTCATTTACGTCAGGAGTAAAAACATTAACGCCAACAGGCAGGCAATAGCATGATCCAAGTTTBAATAGTGCTAGGAAACATTCAATTAGACTATTTACATATGAAATGACATTCAATACCATCCTCAAACAAACAATTGCACCTTTGAACAATCAAATATAAAGAAAGTACTTTTAATCAAACGGAATGGAAGTTCATTAGTACCAAAATACAATCAAATGCATCGATTGACAATCATGCGAGCATTTAAGACATTCAATAGTAAAATTTCCATGTATAAGCACAATCAATAGCGCCTTTATACAATCATTCGTTCGCAATGAACAATCAATCTTAACAAACGACAAACATTTGCGTAAGAACAACAATCAATTACAGGAAAACAAATTTCAAATTCACTTTATTATTTTCTTGATATTTACAACTACCATTCTATACAGCCTTTTGCAAAAATTATGAGAATTGTCTAAATATCTAAATATCATAATATCCATATCCATATATTGTCCGGAACACGCGGGTTTGCTAGAATAATTCATTGTTGACGTCGAAAAAATGTTCAGAGCTACGGATAAGTCTGTCGCCAAAAAAAACTAAACTACAAAGACAAGGGACTAGGGGCATCGCGCGGGATCATGCACTCGATATTATGATATTTAGATATTTCGACAATTCTCATAATTTTTGCAAAAGGCTGTATGTCCCGTTATATGCATCTTTTGTTAGAAGATATGTTTACATAAGTCGATCGGTAAAACTTGCCAGACCACTCCCTGCCGAACGAAACCGGCCCGACGTACTTCAGAAGAGAGTTGACTACGCCCACTGGTTTATGCGTCATGCAGTAGTGAACCACCCTGTTTTTGTAGATGAGTGTGGCTACAATATTTGGACAGCGAGAAGTCAAGGACGAGCTAGGACTGGAGACAGAGCTTACCGACAAGTGTGTGGTCAACGAGGGAGAAATGTGACCGTGGCACTAGCCATTTCCCCAACAACTGGACTAGTGTTCCACTCTGCAGTTCTCGGGGGAATGAATGGCCAAAGATTCAATGATTTTCTTGCACAGACCAGGCTAAATCTCGACCCTGACGAGCACGTAATTTTCATTTACGACGGCGCACCAGCCCACAGAAATCCTGTGAATCCACCGAACTAAAGAAGTAGCCACCATACAGTCCTTTCTTGAATATCGAGGAGCAGGCAATAAGTGCCTTGAAGGCAGCAATTAAAGCGGACATAAGTCGCCCGCAGATACAGGAAGAAATGAACAATAGAGCCGAAGCAAGAAGACAAGGCATTGCACTGGGAAACATGAGCACCCAATTGCTATTACGAGCGCTTGAAAGAAATATCGGCAGCATCACTGTGGCTAAATGTGGACAGTGGTATCGGTTCATGCAGACATACTTTCCAAGATGCATAAATAATGAACATATAGAAGGATAGGCAACAATAGACATTAAGAAAAGAATAAAGTAAACCAATATGTTAAATGATTAAAATATAGAAGAATAGTGATAAATATCAAGAAAATAATATAGTAAATTTGAAATTTGTTTTCCTGTAATTGATTGTTGTTCTTATGCAAATGTTTGTCGTTTGTTAAGATTGGTTGTTCATAGCGAACGAATGATTGTATAAAGGCGCTATTGATTGTGCTTATATATGGAAATTTTACTATYGAAYGTCTTAAATGCMCTATTGATTGTCAACCGATGCATTTGATTGTATTTTGGTACTAATGAACTTCCATTCCGCTTGATTAAAAGTGCTTTCTTTATATTTGATTGTTCAAAGGTGCAATTGTTTGTTTGAGGATGGTATTGAATGTCATTTCATATGTAAATAGTCTAATTGAATGTTTCCTAGCACTATTCAAACTTGGATCATGCTATTGCCTGCCTGTTGGCGTTAATGTTTTTACTCCTGACGTAAATGAATGCATTTTTTGCGCAAATGAACAGCAAAAGGTGTATTATAAAATTTATTAATAATACATAAGCTATTGCTCCAATAAGGGCTGACCATTTAATCAGGTGATTGACGGTCGTCACCATTGAGACAACCCAACACTAGCAGGTCTCAGTTTTAGTGTCGCATCATAGACCTTCACTAGGTTTTGAGAGCAATCAAAGACGGATAACAGAACTCCCTTATGCAACAGATGGCTTGCTTTCCATGTGGGATGGATAATTATTCAAAATGTTCTGTGTTGCAGTAAATTGCGCATGCTTAATAGGGACTAAACTCAGCAGTTACCTTATTTGTCATTTTTCGTCATTTATCTCACTGTAATTCATGTTAATTTGTGTTGGAGTTTTATAAGTCGTTTACAACATTCGCGTCCGTGTTGTATGGGAATTACAATCTCTCGCCTGCGGCTCGAGATTGAAATACAACACGGCCGCTCATGTTGTAAACTATACTTAACTATTATTAAGAGCGGATGTCAGTAAAAACCAGACATTGGCCGGCAACTTTCCAAAAATCGATTTCGCTTGATACCATCATTTGATATCATGTTAGAAGAACTTCTGTGTAGTTTGTTTTGAAAAATAATTTTTCATTGCCAATGGGGAGATAGACATTTTTGCCGAAGACGGTAAATATGCTAATTTGATAGCTTAAAATTATGCAACTTTGGCGACCTCTAGAAAACCGAATACGGTAAGCTGTACAACTATCTTCAAGTATGATATCTATTTGTATTTCAGAGAGATTTTCACCTTTTTTCAATAAATCCTAAATTTTTGGTCGATTTTTCAAACAGATGTGGTTTTCAATTATCAAAAAGAACCCTTGAACAATCAAAAATTTCACCCCGGCGGGCCGATACACCAGATTGACTTGAACTTTTCTGTGGTTTATGCTGGAACATAGGGCTTGAAGTTTATCCAAAAAAAAAGGAGTTAGCCCTACAACGTAGGGGCGTAGTGGCACCATATCTCATGTAAACAGGCACTAAGGCACAAATAAGATCTCTAAACTGAAGTATTGCTTTGTAAGTAAGCATCACGTTGTTTCATTCAGACTGAATTACACTCTGTTGCAGTTTTCATGGCAGCAAAGCTGACACAAAGTATCAAGGATCAGGTCACGTGCCCCATCTGTCTGGAGCAGTTCAAGGATCCTCGTAGTCTTCCCTGTTTACACACTTATTGTAAAGAATGTCTGGAAGAGATTTTGAAGAAAGGGACTAGAAAGCACTCCATCGAATGCCCAGAATGTCGAGAAAAAGCACAGGTAGTCCACTCTTTACTGCAAAACAATTATTCCTCTCCTGACCGAAATTCTTTTGTTGTGAATTTATGCCACGAAAATAAATCGGTTTTTTTTTTCTATTTTAAGATTGAAGATGTTGGGTCCCTTAAAGTTAACATTTGGGTAAATAAATCACTTTCCCTTCTTGACTTATCCAMCATCGAACCAGAAGTAAACGCGGATGAAAAGATATCGTACTGTAAGAAACACAAAGATGAACGACTAAAGCTGTTCTGTAGAGGGTGTGAGCAGCTTATTTGTCGAGATTGTACAATCATTGATCACAAAGGGCACAAATACTGCTTTGCGGCAGACGTCATAGACGAGCACAAAGAAAAACTCAAAAAAGAAGTCGCCAAAGCCAACTCGATTAAAAACGAAGTTGAGTCTCGTTTAAAGACACTTCAAGAATTTCATGAGAAGGCGGAAACTAGTCAAACCGTCACAGAAAAGGCCATTGACGCTGCTATCGATAAACAAAAACAGATGCACATTAAAGCTTTTGAAGAAAAGCGTGCAAGTCTAAAAGATGACCTCAGATTTATAGCAATTCTCAAAAAAGAGAACATTGCTGTCCAGCAAAGTAGTCTTCAGAAGCACCTGATGGGATTAACAAGTTCTATTGAGCTGACAGAAAACCTTCTCACTAATGGAAGCATGACTGATGTGCTGGCTGTATCGAAGGATGTTAGATTGGGCTTATCAAAACAGTCTTCAGAACCAGAGATTTTAAAAATCAAGGAAGAGGAACTCAGACCAGTTTACATGCCTGAGCTACATGTCACCAAACAACTGATGAAAAATGGCATTAATGAATTTGCTGCAGTATCGGATCCTGACCCTGACAAGTGCGTGGTGATGTGGTCTGTAGAGATTACCCATGACTCCCTTGAAGTTTACATCAAAGACCATCAAGGGCTTTTAATAAATATCATGAAAGAGCGAATCACCATACATATGGTAGAAAACGACAATCGCTGTCTTCTTTTGGAAGGTTTTCTAAATGAACGTGCCTTTGAGGACGGGTTATGGACTTTGATCCACGGGAGAATGCACCGAACAAAACCTGATAGATGCACCTCAACTAAAAACCATGATTTACAGAACAAAATGTATGAGGTGAATTTCAAGGTAGATGGGCAAAACATCAAGGGAAACCCCATCAGATTGTTCTTTTGAACTAGTTTGAAAGCACACTATAAAGTGCAACTTTAGCATAATGGCGGCAATTGTGTTTTTCCAAAATAAAATAGATATGAATATTTTGTCACTGTAATATCAACGAACTATCAGAAATAAACGTTTTTGGAAAGTTTTAGAACTCTGGACAAAATAGGAAAAAAGTTATGGTGAAATAAAAATACAAAGAAATGTATGTAATTTTCCACCAATGGCGGCTGTCTATTTGTTTCTGAATATGAAAAATGTGAAACCTTTGCCACTGTCATGTAAATGAACTACCAGAAATAAACATTTTTGGAAAGTTTTACAGCCCTGGATAAAATACGAAGAACGTTATGGCGAAATGAAAATACAAAGAAATGTATGTAATTTTCAGCCAAGGCCYTTATAGCCTCGTTCTGGTGTTATGATATATTTTAAATCCTTATAACTTCACCAGAATTTAATATTTTCATTTCAAACTTTTATATGTTGTTATTAGCACAGGTTCCTATCAGCTGCTAGCTTACTTTGACTAAAATCCTAATTTTAAAAATTTATGTTAATTAGATGTCGGCCATTATGGTAAAGGTGTATTGCTTTGTTGATTAGGAATGAAGCTAGATAATTCACAGAATTCCTTTAAACATTATTCTCTCAATATTCGTAGACTATTGTATCAGGATATAACAGAAYGCTTTGATTGACACTCTGTCATTGTCAGCCTCTAAACCAGAYGCAGCCTCGTTTCCACACGAATTGGTATCATCCTCGTCTCTCCCAATTCCTCCCGTTCCAAAGCCAATGCGAGAGTCTGGTGTTAAGAGGTCATACTCGTTGTTGGCTAATAAACCAATACGTGCCCTRCTGTTGATTAAAGCTCTGTCACTTTGTTTACCTTTGATATTAAAACCCATTCCAACTTTGCCTTTTTGYATTGATGAACCGGGTACCAGGCTTCGCCACTGTTTTACATTACTCGATAACGGAGCATATTGACCRCCGGATATGACGTCATATAAGGAGTTTTCAGAATGTCTAAAAGAAAGGAAAATTAGACGCACTAGCTGCCACGGRACAAATGCAATTCAATCGATTACAACAATAACGTATTGTGCTGACTACTTTTTGAATTCACTATTTGAAAAATTCAGGTTAAAAATAACTTACTTAAKTTTAATCCAACGAGTCACGTGRYTAACTCTCATACCCAGGCACACATGCTTAAAAGGTGTTGACCAATAGAATGGYATTTTGGTTTCCATGGTATCTAAACCTGTTTGACCGGCTGTTGGGHCGTATGATTGCTTATTTGACCAATACGTTGAATTGTAATGAAATGTAGTCTGTTGTAATTATAAAAAATAAAATAACGATAACCGTGAATGTAGTTTTCCAGTGGTTTTTACCTTAGCATTTTACCTTATTTCCGTCAATTTTCATCACTAGAGACCAGCCTCCTCCTCCGCATCCATTCGTCATATTCATAACACAGTAGGCCTGGTAAGGAGTGGTTACTGAACCACTTACATTTTTAAAATAATAGACTCCAGACGGCGACGATCTGTTGGTTGGTGATTAGATGGTTGGTTGGTTGGTGATAGATGGTTGGTTGGTTGGTGACTATTGTGTTGATTGATATTTTGTTGGTTGGTACCTTAGATGACAGATATTTACTCTGTTTTTGTTGGTTTGGAWRATCTGATTGTTAGCTAGTCAGTGTTGTTTGGATGGTGTAGATGGTTTGTTAATTCAATTGTTTGCGTGTTTACTTACGGTAGTTGATCGTAGATTTCTTTACACGAAATTGCTGGCGATTCTTTACTGTATCCCATGATTTCTGTAGAAAGTATAGGCCGTCATTACTATTAGTTGCGTAGGAGCCAGCGGTAAATTAGTGTGCGTAAGTTGGTATAGCTGATATCGCGATTAACAACGCAGTTTAAAAGTAGTGAATCATTATGCAGCTCAGCAAGATTAGCAAAATCTCACTAACGTAAAGCAAAAGCAAAATAACAAAAATTACTTAATCTGGCATTTTGAAGTTTGACATGCTGCTATAATCAGACAGAAAGAGAGTTTCAGGAGATGTGTCTAGTCTGMAACTTACCTGTCTGGCAAWACTGGCCAACAAACCCTCGTGRGCATTGACAGGTAAAGGTATCGATAAGTGGTTGGTAGACAGTAWRACAGGTTCCACCATTAAGACAAGAATCTGATTGACAGATCTATAAATAGAACACCACATATGACGATGATTTCGTTGAAAAGCTGTTTTTCTGCATCTTTTTTTCTTTGTAATATAATGTTARCTTAACATACCATTTTTTCCAAGTACATCCAACCATTGTTCTTGATGAAGAACTCCAGTTTAACGTCCTTCTTTTTCTTGTTATTCAACTCACATGTTTTTCCTTCAGTGAAATAGTTCACGCTATAGCAATTCTCGCTTTGCATACACAGYCGTGAACATTTAAACTGGTCCACTGATTGGACAATATCAAACACGTGATCAACTAGTACAAAGTCATTGKTCACTATGAACCTTATTGACTTGTCCATATTTGTCTGTTTTGTGTTGATCACGTGATTTAAGAGTAAAAGCAGTGTTACCATGGTAGCAGTGCGAATAGTCAGTACTTTGGTATTCTTGAAAAATGCGGCTCTAAAGACAAAGAGACGTTTTCTGTAGTTTTGTTTCAACACATTGGTTATCCAACCCATTTATCCAATCGTTAACTTTGAGTTGAATTTGAGTTTGGCGAACCGTTAATTATTGGAAGCGGAGAACACACAGTCAGACCCTTTGTCTACTTAGATAGACATCGATGGACTAGATCTGAAAAACATACTCGCAACTTGGCACAACTACTTGCTTTCCTAGTTGAAGTAGGATTAATTAGGACCCGATATGCTTACATAGGTTCCATTCATCTTCCAAAGAGGATTGGGAAAAAGTGGCAAAAATTGGTATTTGTTTTGTTGGGGAAATGTCTTTGTATGTTTTAAAAATTATGTTTGCCATTTGTTTCTTTATCAAATCGGATGTTCTATGAATACAAAAGAGCTGACAAGTGATCGTTTCGACACCAAGCTATGTTCAGAAAAGTAATTTTAAGTGCCTTCCAATATCTACAGACAGATCAATGACATTTCCTCTTTTTTCCCTTTTTCAACCAAGAAAACAAACTCCCGATTACACCTGTACATAGTGACCCCCTCAGATACCTAGGTTAATGTTGTCGCGTTGAAATACAAAATAACACAGTGTCATTTTGCTGCATTGCATCTCAAGATATTTATACCAAGTATGCCTTGCCATKTAAAGTTTTCTAGAACTACTCGTAATGCAAAAAAGTTGTGACTTCACCTTGAAACAGCTGCAGGATGGTCCAGGATGATTGCTTTATGAAAAAGTCAAAATTGAAAATGACAAAATTGCAAAGTGTATCATTGTGTGTTTGACTCTCTGAATAAAATTCAACTTCCCAGATCAGGAAGCAGTATATTGTACTGTTAGCTGAGCTTTATTTGTTTATCTTTAATGAAAAACTCAAAACTTGACAAGCAGATTTCTTTAAAAAAAAAACAACTTTGAAAGATTTTAAATACAAAAGGACTCAGAAGCAATGGAAAAATGGTACAAAAATTAAGRAAACCTTCTGTACTTACCACAGTTAGACCAAGTACTGCATGTACTGCAATGCACAATTCGTTAATTAACGAGTGAGCTATGACATGACGCTCATTTTCAGCGTTGAACCATCTCAGTTGACTTTTAAAGTTGCATATAAACACTTCTTATTCCTTGTAATGCGTTTTGATGCGTTGTAGACAAAAACGGAAAACTGACAGAAAACTGTATAAAATACAGTTTGAAGTCAATAGTCCAGCGATATTTCTATCAAATAAATCCCTGATAAGACTTTTGCGATTCACGAATGAGAGTTATATGTCGAGTGCAAAGTGTTTTTGGACAAATGGTTACACAAATGCGTCAGTATGAGCAAACACCACTAGGAAATCGCTGAGACAAGTGTCGAATAGATATCAGTATGATGAACACAAWGGTGTCAAAATCTTTGAATCTCATATCATTCACTAAATCTACACACTTTTTGAGAGGGTGAACTCTACAATGAGAACAGGATGCGGWGAGAGATGTTAGGCGGGGTATTGGAAAGGAGGGAATTGTACCTTGCGCTACAACTCTGCGAGTACGTCCGATACTCGAAAGCCAGGGTTTTCTAAGATGYTTCCTTTCATCTTGTTATTCTATACAAAGGCTGCCATGATCCAAACACTGATTATGGCACGTGTTGAATTCAATGAAGTATATACTCACCCATATTCCCATATCTTAATTAGTTGCTTATTGAATTCAGCACATGTGACATACGACGAATATCAATTTTTTCAACACATTGTACCGTTGCTCGTAATGATATTTAGAATATGATAATAGTCAAAACAAAACATTTTTTAATTAAAAAATGCTTTCTACTGCTTTTCAACTACAGCTGTGATATAAACTACATGTTGTATAGCAAATACTATGTATATATAAATCTTGATCGTCTTGCGAAAACACTCAGTTGAAAATTGAACTGGGAAATAATATCGAAAGATAAAAGAAGATCATTCGAGTTGAACTTTCTCTCTTTTCTCACAGYATTGAAATTATTCCTCGCAAAATCACAAAAGTTTTTTTTACTCTTAATCCATGTGACAATCGTTTTGCGATAGCTACAGCGTAAACGTAAATTCATCACTGTTTTGATTTATGTTGGGATGGCATCATTATCTTGAGCCTCGGTATGCGAACACTTGGTCAGCAACCATTCCCTCAGTCGATAAATCCCATAAAAGAACAGCTGCACCAGAGGCTGAAGAACAAAAAACACACCAATGATGGAACCAATTGCGAGTCCAGGTTTCGAGTAGTCCAGGAAGTAATAGAAGACTTTACCGTTGACCAGGAAGTAGATCACGGATTGCGTGACATACAGAAGGCCATACAACTGACAGTAGACAAAGTGTAAAACGCGCACAGGAAAGGGCGTTACCCAAGCCTCGAATAACATGAATAAAGCATTAACCAGATGAGCAACAATATTACCAAACCCAAGGCCAATTTTATCTGAATACTGACTGTAAATAGCCCCCCAGTAACCAACAGAAACGATCAAAGAATTGACAGCAGCGATGTTGAATAGCATCCAAACTATTCTATAACCCCATACCATCACAGGATGTAGCTCTTCTGTGTWTTGAATAGGCTGTATATCATTCTCTGTTGCCAAYGATATATTGGGGTGGGTTTTTGATCGGTAGAACTGATAGGAGCATAGGATCACGTACAAAGAGACGTAAATGGTAATAGTCGCCAGRCCCCAACCGGTAAAGTAGCCCGTGTACCAGTTTCCTACACGKCCACGGAGAAAGAAGATGACAAAGAAGAGAGCTACTACCCATCGATAAATCAGATATATGACAGGTGGCATCCACTGTACATAGAAAATAAACCAATCAACAAATCAATGGACATAAAACAAACTATCAAAAGACGTACCACAGTTTAATTACTTTACTGACTAAACAAAATAAAGTGAACAGAAGATCAGCTGGCTACGATAGGAAATTGTAATCCAAATATAATTTGAAATGTCTAGCAAATCATAAAATTCAACTGTTCGTCAAAGGTGAAACTTCCAACTGATCCTGCAGTTKAATTTTATGATTTGCTAGACATTTCAAATTATATTTGGATTACAATTWCGAATGAAAATCAAAGCATGAAAATACCGTAAATTTTTTGACAGGTTGTCAAAAAGTGCGTTTGATCCGGGATCCGACAGAACAAATTGACAGAATTGTATTTTCCGGAAAAAAAGAAAAAGAATCAGAATAATGGTATCAGGAAATACAAAATAATGAAAATAAAAACGAGAAAAATAAATAAATAAAKATAAAGATAAATAACAAAGAAAAAACATCCGTAAGAAAATTGACTGCGCAACAGGACTCGATCCCGCTACCTCTTCAACACCATCAGAATCGAACGCAGCGCTTCAACAAGCCGCGCCACAGTACCACACTAATTTACATAATAATAGACCACTTGACACTTTCACCGAATAGACTACCCCAATTTGACATTATACTTTCGATAGTTGCCTAGTTAAGTGCAAGGGGTTATCCATCAGTGTCTAGGGGCCGGATAGCTTCTCCCTCACTGGCTTTTTAGTTAGCGCGAAGTTAGGACCAATTATCGGGATAGCATGGAAGAGCCGAAATCTCTAACCGGAATGTAAATCGATTCGCCGMMTCAKCTTYAYAGADYGTCTCGGGGGAATCGTCCCAACCTTTTTTCGATTTTATGGTCAAGGGTTCGAGTCCCAGGATGGCTGTTTTATCTTTTTTCCAAATTTATTTTTCTTTTCTAAATAGGTTTTTTCTCTATTGACTATATTTTGTTTCATTCAGTATAGTCATTATACATTCTTTAATCTTTAAACAAATTAATTGCCACTAGTGAGCTAATCCGGCATTCTCACTAATTGTTTTAGTATCTTTTTTTATTTTAATTCCCTCAAAAAATATAGTACACAAAATCATCTATCTGTGATTACAGGATTACAGTCAACTCTCGCCTTACGGAAATCGCGCTTCAACGGACACCTCGATATTGCGGACAGTAAAATACTGAATTCTGGCGAAAATTACAGTCAACTCTCGCCTTACGGAAACCCTTCTACAACGGACACCTCGATAGTGCGGACAGTAAAATACTGAATCCCCGACGAAAAATACAAAGAAATGACTGAAAGTAACTCTCGTTACTACGGACTCTCGCTACTGCGTACACTAAATTACGGTCCTGAGGGTTTCCGTAATAGCGAGGCTTGACTGCATTCGTTACGATGCGTTACCATGCAGTGACGTCACTAAGCTGAAGCGTCACTTTTCCTATGTACAATGAAAACCCTGTGCGCACACCTCAAATTTGACCTTCCATCACGAGTGTGTTATAATCATGTCYTGATTTCTATTTTTTGTACATTGAGAACTACAGAAAGTAATAAAATTGTTTTCAAACTTTACTGGAMGTGCTTGAACARGCGTTAAGTTAAGAAACCAAGAGAAATTATGTTAGCTTTATATAGTCCTGTAGCTTCCTGTCGGCRAGAAATGCACCTTGASAAATAATTAACTTAATAATGGCTGATCACGCGAGCTTTTAGTTTCAGCGTTAACTTAAAATGTGCCGCCTTACCTTTGAACGAGAGAATGAAACATAGTCTGAGTAATTYAGAGAAAAACATCGGAGACGAAACTCTTCGCGAAATCTTTGTACCATAATGATCTCTTTGCAACTATTGCAGGCTTGACTTTCTATAAAGTTCAAATAGCATGAAAKAATCTCGGTTAAATGTATCGTGCTAGTCTACTAACGCGTGAGAAAGTCAGCATTATATAATCTATGCATGGAGCTAGTACATAATGCTAAGTTAATTAGCGAGTTATAATGTAATTAATCTCATGTGGAAATTTATAATGCATTGCCGTAGTTATTCTATAACCAAAGCTTACCTTTCCTAGGGAAACTCTATAACTAAGGATTTCAGTGAAGTGCAGCCTAATACCTCGCGCTGACATTAAAATATTCCAAAATCGAAGGCCAATACCTTTGTTGACATTGGTTACTTATTGTTCTCAAAGAGAACGAGAACTATGTATTCAGGACTGGACTGGAGTGAGGAGCTCTGGGAAGAACTTGCCATTGATGAGTGATAATAACAACTAATGACTACTTCATATCAGACAGTCTTTTATTTATGAAATATTGCATTTTTTATTGAAAGTATTGCATTTTTAGTGTAAAACCTAAGTATTGAAATATTTTCAGTGAAATTACAATGCTGTGCAAGTCTTTAGAAAAGCTAATCTCTCTCACAGTTTAAAACTCCAAAATTGAGCACTCTATACAAGACTGCATATAGTTGAATATTAAGCATAACTTATGTTTGCTATAATTGTTTTTATATTTAAGTTAGACTGTATTGCTGGTAGTCTGTGCACTTCACAGCCAGAAAAACACTTAGACTTTGCTTAATAAACTTATGTAGTAATAAAATTGTGAATTTACAAATGTAAACCTCAGTCATATACATTGGATATTCCATAAAATACCTAATCTACTTTAGAGAAATTTGATTACCAAATAAAACAGTGAATTAATTAAAATATAGATTATGATAATTTTGAAACAGATGGTTAACTTTATATTAATCATTATAGCATACATACATGTATTAGTTTTACAATCATGAAACATCTCCCAAAGATATTTACATGATATTTATAATTRTACACCTAATTGAGAAAATATTGTTGAGTTGCACCAAATGTGACATATCATAGCTARGACTGAAAGAAATTTGAATCCCATTTGCCAAAACATATAACATTAAAGCATTAGTCTTAGAAATTTGATTTTTTTATCAGAATGCAAGCAGTCCTTTATATATTTTACTTTTTTCTTTCTTTCCAAAACTAGAAAGTCAGCTGGCAAATCTTTGTATTTTTGATATAAACAACTWATTTTGCTACTGACAATCAAGCTATTATATATTATTTACAGTAAAAATTGTACTAAATCCTTGGTTTGTGAGGAAAAGACAGTAGTCTCATGGTGTCATTACGTGACCTTGACTTTCTATTTCTCCATACAAATATGGTAACTCCAAGAACTGTGATGCTAAGAATAATTGACAGTGTRACAGCTGCGGCAGGTGGCATGGTGCCTTCATCATCATCATCACTTTTGACAACATTGCTACTCATTTTGGTAGGGAAAAATGGAGAGGTCTGTCGACAATGAAAAAACGATGTTGATGAGTTGATATCATCATGATCTCAACAATAAGTGAYGACAACAAAACTGTTATGTTTACRCCCTGATGCTGTTATGAGTTAATATTGATACCTTACCTTGGTTGGGCAGCTAATGAGCTGGTCTATATTCCAATCCATTGGTTTGTTAGGTATATGTACCAGCTAAAAAACAKTAACAAAGATTTTAGTCGTATCAGATCCAATCCAAATTACTTTGGTTTTCAATCAAGAATCAATGTTTGTTTATCTGATAGCTTGGATCAAATTTGAATATTCTTGGATTTGTCTTTGTCTGCTGTGCAGTTAGTTACATACCATGCTATTCCACAAAGCTACAGCTGCTTCAGCRTGACCTTTAGYATTGAAATGAAGACAGTCTGGTCCAAACAATTCTTCAGCAAGTTTCCCAGTCTAYKAAAATAAGCAAATAAAATAACCATCATTTGACAGAAACTGRCAGTAAACAAGTGTTGGCTGTGTTGGTGTTTCTATAGAAACAATGTGGAATAAATATAAATTTGAACACCGTAAAACAAGTAGGAGAAATCCAATGTTC